ATATATATATATATATTTTTAATTCAGATTATAACTTCTAGCTAATTATCTCAGTTATATTTACATTTGTATACGTGCTGAAAGTTATCGTTATTGTTCTTAGAAGCAGATGTATACATCAAGTCTATTTTGGTAATTTTCAGATTTCACCTGAACTTAGAAAAAACTGATTATGCTCTGATCCTGCAGTAGTTTTTTATGTCCTTATTCCTAGTCATTGAAACTGAACCACTGAAGCTAACTAAAACTGAAAGATCTCATCATGGCAATATCTATGCATACTCTGCTTTACACGTGGAACTTCACATGTAAAATAATTTCTATACTGTTTGCCAAATCGGCTTCAAAGGCAGAAGCTATAACATTTGCTCCCCCTTACCTGAGTTTTAATGCTATTCCTTGTTATTTCACAGAGGTCATGCTACTTGATGAGCCAACGACAGGGCTGGACTGCCTGACTGCAAACCAGATTGTCTCGCTGCTCTCAGAGCTTGCACACAGAGACAGGATTGTGATTATTACGATTCATCAGCCTCGCTCAGAACTCTTCAGGGTAAATGATATCTACTCACTATTTGTTTTTTTTACCAGGCTTTTTAGTACCTAGGTTCTTTTCAGGATAAAAGTACAAGATCCAGTATAGTTGCCTTCAAAGGCAACCCCCCTGCATAAATACAGGCTTGTCTTGAACTTTACAGCTGTGGCCTTCTACCAGTCAGAGGGCTCTTTGGGACACATACTGCCCTGTGAAAATAGCGTGCACACTGACTGTGTGCCTAACCTTTGTGTTATGTAGCTACCCAAATCAAAAGCACTGGCGGAAGCCATGTAAATCCCCCATGTGTGCAGGCACCGTAAAAGCTAGTACTTTATTTCTCTTTACATAGTCATATTTCAGTAACACTTGCAACTTGAGACAGATAAAGCCATGATTTGGAATGGAAAGGAAAAAGAAAAAAATCTTCTTTTTTCCTCTTTGTGTCAAGTGATGTGAGTACACCTTGGTGATGTGGTGGGGCAGGCCTGCCTTGCAGGGCTTGTGCTGGGGAGAGCATTTCTCCCTTCTCATTACTATTTCGCACTTTGCTCTTCTGACACATCCACCACCCACCACGTGAATGCAAGGCACCTCTTCCCTGGCTGACTGAATTGAGTGTAAGTGGTCATGAAGCCAGAGGGGAGTGACGGTGGTTTTCTGGACTGAAAGCAGACCTGGTGCCTTGGGAATATGGGTCGATCATAGCTGGTGGGAACCCTGCCCTGGCAAATGTTCACCTGAAGAGCAGTGCTGTTAAAGTCCTTAAGCACTTCAGGATAATCTTCCCAACGATTTGGGGATTTTACGGACTGGAGCTATTAAGCGCCAAAGGAGGTCTGTCAGTAAGTGAAGGTGCATTAGAAGTGAAGTCAGAAGTCCACAGCTCCCATTTCTGTTTGTGGATTACCTCTGTATGCTGCTGTCGCTGACAGTTTTGAGAACCACTAGTTTTAAGAGCTTAAAAATGTGTCATCTTGCATAACCACTGAGAGGAGCGATAGAAAGGACAAACTTCCTTTGACAGAAATATACTCAGGAAGTTTGAATGTGTCAAAACTGTTTTTCCTGTCAAAGCATTTTTGTTACCAAGACAGTAGCTGTACTCAAGAATTAATGTGCTGCTTCTCAGTATGTATTGCTGATACGTTAATTTGTTCTCCACAGTTATTTGACAAAATAGCCATCATGAGCTTTGGAGAAATGGTTTTCTGTGGGAATCCTATGGAAATGATTACATTTTTTAGCAACTGCGGCTATTCTTGTCCTGAGCAATCAAATCCTTTTGACTTCTATGGTAAGTTTGTCTAAGTTGTTTTGGTAAAAACATGGGTTTCCTTTAGTCAAACAAGTTTTCTTCCCCAAATTAAAGTTCTTCCAGAGATAAAACTGTGTTTGAATTCTTTCCAAGCTTTGTAATTGTGCTCAGCTCAGAGATGAGAAAGAGCTAGGCCCATGTAACCTTCACTGACTCCATAAAGCAGAAAAAGTTTGCAGTAGGACTGAAACACAGCAGAAAGGAGTAAACTATCAATAAAAAAGGAATCTCAGCATCATGAAAGCTGTGGATTCCTGATGGCATCTGCCTATGGCTGTCCACTGGACATTGGAAAATCAATTTGATCCCCAAACTGTGGAAAGTCTCTTGCTTTTATGGGCTTTAGTGATGTCAAGCAACCGAAGACAGTTGTTGCCCGAAGGGAAGGATGTAGAATAAATACAGGATAACTGAGGCACCAATTTCCAGAGACTCACAATCTGAGGTTTCAGAAAGTTTGGGAAGTTGTTAGTACCAGGGTGAGCTAGTGGAGCAGAACGTATGGATGCTTCAGGAGGTGATGATAGCAAGCTGTTGGCAAAAGCTGAAGAGTACTGTTTTACCAATTCAGGATGAAAGAAAGCGTCAGCATGAGATTTTGGAAATTAAGCTTGGTTTTGCTGCAGGGCATCTGTGTATCTGCAGATACATGTTTGAAGAACATGTGCACATGTGTATATATATGTACATACATATGTCTCTGTGTGTGTGTATCTATCTATCTTTTTTTAATCTAGTATGTAGGTTGATTTCTGATGACATTAGCTGAGTGTTAACCAGGGAATCTGACCAATCCAAAAAGCTGTATTCAGAAATATGGCACATTTAGAGGAGGCAGAGTTTTTCTATTGTCTAGATGGCATCCTAAACTCAGAGAGAAGAGAGGATGGTTGTTGACGTGAAGCTAGAATGGGATGAAGCTGAAAATACTGGTGTGACAGTGAGGATAATTTTGTCTTCATGAATTTGAATAGTCGTGAAAAGCATAGATGATTTGAGATTTAAACACACTTTTTAAAAAGCTTGGTAAAGAGAGTACTGCATTCGTCAAATGTCAACCTTCGAATGTGACAAGAAAAAGAAAAAATACAGTTTAGAGCAAAGAAGCATCAGAATATTTAGTCTTTGGAAAATTGGTAGTTTATATTTTTTGTGTGATTTAATGATGTGAATGAAAGGACGGATTCTGATATCATTTACACCAATAGCAGAGGAAAATAGATCCTATGTATTGAATGTGGATTATATAATTTAAATGTCACATGTATTTATATAAAAAGTACAAATGCATGGTAGGCGTTAGCTATTTGGCTAGTGTTATTTTTTTAAAACACACCTGCTTGCCATTTATTTTGTCTGTGACTTCCAGCAAGTCACACTGGCCAAGTTTTAAAAAGCATGTCTGCATTTTGTATGTTCATATTTACAAAAGTGATGACTTCGTTTTGGATATGTTTACCATTGAAGACAATTCTGCTGAATTCCAGCTTTCAGAACACCAGGGAAGTATCCAGAAGCTTAATTCAGGTTTTGAGGACAAATTAAGAATCTTGGACAAGGGCTCTTTTTCCCTTGTTCAATTTATATTTTGACATTGAGCATAATACTGGAAAACTGAAAGCTGAAGATGACAGAAACCTTAAGAATAAATAACTAATAAAAACATCTTAGCAGATGTAGAAGAGTAATATAAAAATCTGTAAGAACAGCTATTCCTGAGAACAACAATCCAGTTTTTGAAACTGTAGATGATTCATTGCTAGTAGGGAAAAGGGAACTTTCTAATGCATTTTAGCACTATTGCTGAATCCGTATGACTTGTACAAATAGCACACACAAAGTTCCCATCTGCCAATAAAAGAATTGCTTGTGTCAGGAATAGGTATAGGTGGACTTATTAGAAAGGAACATTATCTCTGTGAAGTATTTACCTTTCATAAGTTCCACGGCAGGAAGTAATATTTTCTTCAGTTTGGGCTAGGCCTGCTAGGGGAATTTGGCCTGCTGAGCATCCTCTGACTTCACATGCAAACAGAAGTATGCCTGAGAAGGAGGTGGGTGAAACCCAGTGCAACAATGCAGTAACAGCTTAAGTAGAGAAGAGCAGTGTCTCTGCAGCATAAGCTCGGACTTAACTGAAAAATAAAGCTCCATGGTTATGGAGGAGCAGACAGAGGACAAGGCGGAATCAGGGAGCCATATCCGACCATTTGCGTGAAAACCTGAGAAATACATGACCAGAAAGTCATCTCTTCATCCTCATCAGTGTTCATCCTCAGCTGGTGCTCTGTCTTGCTCTTGGCAGCAGTAGCGCTTCACTGGTGGCACAGCTCTTGCTGTGCAAGGAGAACGCTAAAGGTCTGACCAACACACCTCTCAGCCCTTCCATTTCCAGGTAAAGGACTCGAACTTCAGGGTCCTACAGAGGCTGCAAAACACAGAGATTTATTGTGGCTGTGCAGCTGTTCATTCACGCTGCTTCTAACGGAAGGGAGGAGTAAAAGAAATCTTAAATACTTTCAATGGACCTTTTCTTTGAAGATTTTAGGATAGAGACAAGGAAAGGTTAGTTGCAAGGGGGGAAGAGGTATGAAGGGAAAGTGATGTGTATATATAGTAAACACTCTGTAAATTTACAGTGGATCTGACATCTGTGGACACCCGAAGCAAGGAACGTGAACTTGAAACCTACAGTAGGGTTCAGCTAATTGTATCAGCCTACAAAAACTCGGAGATCTTTAGCAAAGTACTGGCAGCCATTGAAAGAATAAAGTGTATGAAAGAGCTGCCACCAATACCATTCAAAAACAAAGACTCACCCAGTGCCTTTTACAAATTATGGATTCTTTTACGGTAAGACTTTTCTTTTCCCCTCTTTTTTTAAGAAAAATCTTTTTTCTTATCCACTAATCTTTTGGGGTTTCCCCCCATATATAAATGCACTTTCTTGGTTATTTTGATCTACTATTGTACTTATCTCTGTCTTTTTTAATGTATTACATTTTTGTGGACACTGTGTAAGATTTGTTCAAAGCTAAATATCCTACCAACATGTGGTCAGTCATAGCTAACAAGTATATTGTTATTGTTTTGTTTCATTATCAGGAGGACAACAAGAAACTTCTCCAGAGATAAGATGGGCATCATCATGCGTCTTCTCCAGAATCTGTTATTTGGCTTGTTTGTAGCATTCTTCCTTCTTCGACTAAGGGATGACCTGGTAAAAGGAGCTGTGCAGGACCGTGTGGGGCTTGTCTACCAGTGCGTGAGTGCCCCCCCCTACACAGGGATGCTCAATGCTGTTGCCCTTTGTGAGTTTCTGTCCTGTATTATGCGCAGCAGCAGGTATTGCTGCCACTATTTTGTAAATAGGAAAAAGTCTTTTTTGAAGGTAGTCATTTAAAGCATCTTAACAGTTTTACGTAATGTCAGAGCTGATACAGAAGCATGAAATTCAAAGGCAAGGCAACAGGAAGCTTCGCACCACAGAAAAAGAATAACCCATCAGAGGGACTCCAGATTCCCTGCACTTAATGAAGGAATATGCCCTGATCCCTGCCTCTCTCTTTTTGCAGCTGGCCTGTGTATGGAGGTTTCATTCTGAACTGTGCAATAGCCCTTAACTGCCTGCGTGTAGCATCATAAAGGCAGGACGAAGTATAGGTCTGTAGTTAACATCCGAAGTGAGATCAAAACCAAAGACGTGGAAAGGATAGAAGTACAAAACAGCTTTGGCAGCAATTAAGGATAATTAGATTTAAGAGTATTATGTGATGATTACATTTTTCTTAGAGGGTGTTTCTCTTACAGCTGCCACACTAAGACCAACAGTAGTTTCTATTTACAGCCCTAAAAAATGTTCTGCTCATGTAGGGAACATACATTGCTGTCATCACCTTGGGATCAGAGCACCTCAAGAAATTACCCAGTGACAGCAGTTTTTTTATGTCTTTAATTTGTATCTGCAAAAAGAGAAGGCTGTCCTGCATGCTGCCTAGTTAGGCCTCTCATTATGCTTACCAACTTTTGCAATCTGCAGGGAGCATGTTTTGCATTTATAGTGGGGGAAAAAGTGATCAGACTGGTTTAGACAGGATGTTTCTGATATATTCTCAAAGTTGTCTCTGTGCTTCAGGTCATTTTTACTAGCAACAAGTCTTGGTCTCTTTATTCAATGGTGATTTAATTTATTTCTTATATATTTAATCTAGTCCCACCTTTACGTGCTATCAGTGACCAAGAAAGTAAAGATGGCTTGTATAAGAAGTGGCAAATGCTTTTAGCTTATATAGTACATTTCCTGCCCTTCAGTGTCATCAGCGTGGCAATTTTCAGCACCTTTATATACTGGTAAGCACTTGTACCATCTATTGGATTGTTATTTTCTTTTTGTTATCAGTTTCAATTCCCATGTCAGCAACAGGCCTCTTGGCATGTCTTTCTGCTGTTGCCTCTCAGAATGATTACAAAGAAAGCTTAAGGGAAGATGACCCAATTTTAGCCCTTCTCTTTCAGGCAGTGTTAAAACACTTACTGAGTAAGAGGGTAAGTTACCAGTTCTCTAGGTAACATGGGAAGTTTTAATGGGCCTGGGAGATTTATCATTCTTGTGTCATACCAAAAGCAGGAAGTGTCATTTTATATTACATTTAGAAAAATAGGAAATAAGACAAAAAAAGTGAGGAAGACAACAGTAGGTATGTGACAGTAACAAAGCTTCATATTTCCTGGGACATTCGAGGTTTAGCTACAGCATATGGAAGTGATGAGATCTGGATCCCCCTCTGCCACCCTCCAGAGAAAGGCACTAAAGTGGATTTCTGATAGTGGGAGGAAGGGTTTGATTTGTAAAGCTTGCTTTTTTTTCCCCCAGTACGTTCATTTCCTCGCATCATTGTGAAGTAGTACCTCAGAATGGGATGATGAAATATTTCGTCTGTTCATTGCCTTATCTGTTATATAGGTCTGCTCTTCTTCATTTCTGTTCCATTGATTTCCCACCTTCCACTTGCTTATTCTGAACTTAATACAGTCCATGGCTGCTGGCGTAAGCTAATAGCAAAGTAATAAGGACCAATTTCTGTCCTTCAAACTTTTTCTGGGTTTTCTGTTTTTCCAGTTATGAAAGGAGTGGTGTGTAGTGCACTGAAGTTTTGTTCAAGCAAGGCCATCTTTCACTTTGTCCCTTTAACGACCTAGGCTTTTATTTCTGCAAGCTGTCAGTGCTGCCTGCTTCAGGCAGTGCTCCCTGAGAAGTCCTTTTTCACAGACAAACAGAAATTACCCCCCCTCCCACTAAGCGTTTAGAGGATGCACTGTGCTCACCAGAGAGAGCCCTTCCATTTCTGCCTGCTAGTGAGCTGGTTGCTGAGATTGCAGCCATTTGGAAAGCACCTTTTCAGGCTCAGTGAGGCAAGGTTTGTGGAGCTCCTGAAGATCATGAGCCACTGTTTGTCACGCTCACTCCTTAACGAACAGGAAATATGTATGGGCAGAGACTTTGCCCTTGTGCTTTGTTAGCTTCAAACACAATCAACAATAAAGAGTGTCGTTCCGGTTAATGGATAATATTTACAGATATTAGCCTCCGCGTATCTTTGCTATCTTGTGGTTGTTTGGAAGCCATCAGTGATGTGTCGGAGTGATTTCATAGTGCTCTTAGACCTCTTAGGACAAGCAGTTTCTCTGTGAAACTTTGAAGATTGTATCTGTGCAGGACTAAACTTTCCTGGATGGACTAACTTTTGGAGAGGCTTTGATAGCCTCTAGTATGTGTTCTTACAAGCCATTTCTCTCAGAGTTTGCGTTTGTAGGGTCAGATAGTTTGGGTTAGACAGACCCAAAGTCTTACCTGATCAGACGCAAGGCAGCTCTGGCCAAGAACAAATACAGCCATTTTTGCAATCAAGTAAATGTGCTCTGTTTATGCAGATTTTCCCAGCTAAAGATGCCTCTGGGAAATGTTCTAACAGTTTATATTATCCTACCGTTCTATTGCTGTAATATTCTCTCTTCTGAGTTCTTTTTTTTTTTTTTCCTTCTCTTTTAGGCTTTCTTCTCTTTCTATTCCTACCCCAGATTTACTAGTCTGTATCTACATAATTCTGTGTAAAGTATTAGAGCACTTCAGAGAAGGTGATACTTTTATGCTAGGACTTTGGAGAGCTATTTCTTCCTCACCAATCTGTGATTAAATGTTGTTAAATACCTGCTACCTCACCAAATGTTTAATACTTGAAGTCAATGTTCAGCCGTCTACTTATAATAGAGATTATTTTGGTATTACATGCAAAACATGCTACAGGAAACCTGTAGGAAAATTAATACTTCTATTTTAAGACCATGTTCAAACATGGTGAATTGAAAAAAAGACATAGGACCTTGCATTGAGCAATGAAAAAGAAAATAAAATGTTGAATAGCTGCTTGTTAGCTAAGCAAAGCATGCAGTCTGTACCTAGCGTGAGGCAATTTTTGTATGAGGTATTTTGGAAAAAGAGTAATATGTCACCATGTAATAAAAGGTTTTGTCATGTGTCATATACACTGTAAGGCTGAATTAAGTTTGCCAAGCAATTGCTGGCCTCTCTTAACTTTTTAATCTTAGTGCAGGTTGGGGCATCGGGGGACTTTTTTCCTTAGGTGAGCTGGGGAAAAGCTGGGAACAGCATGTTGTATTAAAGAGTGCAGGAGTATGGAGGAAATTGCATTTGGGTGAATTACATGGGTGGTGAATTCAATTAGCCTGCCATTTAATTGAGTATATCCATTTTTACATTTGCATGCACAGTATCAGAAGTGCAAAATTCCATCTATTAATTATCTGCATAAAGATGTTTTTTAAATATGTGACTGACTTACATAAATAACTCCCATTGCATAGACTCTAAAAGGAGGAGGATGTTAGTTTAAGGGATTGTAAAAGCCACAGTGGTTATCTTGAAATAACACAGACTTCTGCTACAATTACATCTTTACATAACCGTCTTTAATCTAGATGGAGAAAACCTAATATATCTGCACTTATGTCACAATACTAAGTGGATGTCCTTTATGTTAACGCTGCAAAAAACATACTAAGGGCTAAAGCATAAACTGGTCACTTAATGAGCTGTAATTGCAAAAAATAAATAAAAACAAAAATAAAAACTACGTTCCAAGTTTAGTACCCAAACACTGTTTTTTAAATATTCTTTTGCTCATTTTTGTACAGGACTGCAGGGTTGTATCCTGATGCTTCCAGATTTGGAATTTTCTTTGCTGTTGTCTTAGCGTCTCATATAACTGGTGAACTACTAACACTTGTTATACTTGGAGTGGTTCAAAACCCAAATTTAGTTCAAAGCGGAGTCGTGCTACTTAATTCAGCAGGTGTGATAGTGGGAACGGGACTAGTAAGGTAGGAAAAAGTTTTGTTTCATTATGGTGTTAATGTTAAAATAATCTACCTATAGAAGAGTTTCATGAACAGTCTGTATTGCTGAAGCACAATAATGCACTGTAGCAATGGAAAGAAAGTGCAGCTGTTATCTTTCAGAGGTAGAACTGCCTAATCATGTTAGACCTTGTACTAAACACACAAAAAAGGCACTTAATAACTTCAGATATCATCAAAGATTATGAACTTTTTTTCACTTTTTGCAAATGAATTAAAGATAAAACTAAGCAATTAATATCTGTCAGCTCAGCTGAATTCTTTTACGTATGCTGATATTATCACATGAAATGCTGTCCTCATTAGAGGATTGTACCAAAAAAAAAAAAAAATCTTACAACTTTTAGTAACTGCTGGAACTTATGAGGTATTAAACACTAGGAATGATTTTTTTTTTTTTTTTTAAAATGTTGTTCTCAACTATCTTATTAGTATTATTCTCCAGTCTAGTCATTAAGCTTTTCAGACACTTTTTCTATCTGTGCAGATTTAACTACATAAAAATAATAAAGTAGTTTAGTAAATATGCAGGAAAATTCTGATCCACTTGCTCTATTACTGTGCAAATAAATATTTTTGCATTGTAACTGCATGAACTTTGAACAGTTTTCCTCTTGTATTTGTCAATACTGAAATTACTATTTTTTGAGAAACATATAAAAAAAAAAGTTGATATGTCAAAAAAAGTTTTCTTGAGATGTTGAGAAAATATGATATGCTCACCTGAGATCTTTCCAATGAAAATGAAGTAAGCCTAACAAAAGATGACATCAAGTCATCCTCAAGAAAAGCATGTAAGTCTTCACAAAGCTGATGATGCTTTGTCTCCTCAAGCTAATACTTGCTTATCAAATAAAACTAAGTTCATATCTAATTAATTTGGTCCCTGCCTAATTTCAGGAAGATGTATGTTTATAGTGACAAGACAGTTATTCCCACTACCATAGTCTAATGCCTTAATGATAACTTTTAAAAAGTATTAGAGTGGTTTCTAACCTTATTTTACAGTAGAGACATTGCTAATTAATATTGTGAATCTCTTTGATGATTAAACTTCATAGGCAATGAAGGATATTAAAAATAGCACTGAGACTTGGGTTGCATTTTTTTTCTGTTCATTTGTTTAATCATAAATTCTTGCAGTATTTTAGGTGCAGAAATTGCCCAGTCTTATTGAATAATGTTATTTCAAAATTTTCATGCTCTTTCTCTTCTCTTTACTCTTTGCTTTATTTTTGTATTGTTGTTACTGTTCTGGTGAATTGATATTCAGTCTTTTTTGGTTTTGAAGATGGAGTGAGGGGTGGTGGTTTCTTACTTTGGAAGCAACACATTTTTGCAACTAAATTTTATATTGGGTCCTGTCATTTTCAGTTTATCACTGCAATGTGAATATCAAAAAACTTCATAGAATTATTTGTGACTGTCCATAAACAAGTCAGGGCTGAACGTTATGACACTGTACTAAAGTCAGAGGCAGCCTTTATGGTTGTCTCCTCATTTAGCACTAAAATGGACTTCATGTTTGAAAACCCTACATGTACAGCCAAGAACTGTTTCTGTAACAGGCTACAACCAAAGATGAGAGCTTGTTTTAATTTGGGGTAGAATTGGCTCTTGGAATGTAGCAAAAGCCAATTTAACGTCTCTGTTTCTTTAAGGACCATCGAAGAAATGCCGACACCTTTTAAAATACTCAGTTATCTTACCTTTCAAAAATACACCAGTGAGATTCTTATAGTCAATGAATTTTATGGCTTAAACTTCACATGTGGTAAGTGTTCAAAAAAAAAAAAAAAAAAAGGCCTTTAAATCCATTCTAAATAATGTTAATGACATGTCGATGCTTATTTTCCTTCTACATACAATAAAAATATCTTGATAAGTTAAAGATGACTTCTTAAAAAAAGCTTATTAATTGAGAAAGATGTACTAAAATGCCATATCATAGAATCACAGAATGGTTTGGGGTGGGAGAGACCTTAAAGATCATCTAGTTCCAGCCCCCCTGCCATGGGCAGGGACACCTT